ATTACAAGTGCGTTATCAAAAGGACGATAAGATTTATAACTTCGGGAGCACAAGCCTCTTGCTTTAATGACAATAGATGTTCAATGGGAGAAATAGAAAGAGATTTTGTTGTCCCTGTATTTACATTGACGCATCCAAAATAGCTGGGACTTGGAAATCCATAGGCCAAAAATACCTTTATGGTCACCTATTAACTAGTGTGTTATTGACACTTTTCCTGGTGCTTCTTATTCAATCCCCCTGTCGCCTACGATTTTAAAAGCACGTTCCCCCCCCCCCAGGTATTTTTGGTTTTTTTGCATATCTGCGCTACACAAAAGGCTGCTCCCCCATCCTCCCTAAACCAACACATTAAGCAAACTTAAAAAAAAAAAAAAAAAAAAAAACCTAGGGTCCTATTACAAACCAACGCCCAGGACTAACTGCTTTAAAATTACTGCATAATTAGATTTAGCTGAATTTCACCATTAATTAGGCAGCCGCACTGCGGGGAGCCTTTGAAATCTGAGAAAATGGGAAAAATCATCTGAAGCACGTTTTTTAAACCCAACTTCAATAAATCATGACCAGGCCTGAATTTCTCCGAGTATCTCTTGCCCCTGTACAAAGCGAAGTGAAGCAAAGGATGATTCGCAGGACCCAATAAAGTTTGAATTAAAAAAAAAATGCCATGTATATTTTTAAACCCTGCTTGCTGTCAGTGGCATATGACACGGGTTATGAAGGGTCTTGACATATTTTTTTTTCAAATGAACCTTCTCGAGAAGCCCTTTCTCTATGCAGAACAAGCCCTGATATAACACCCTGAATAGATCTTATTTTATTTCAATGGCCATTGAGTTGAAGAGAAGGCAAAAGCTTGTTTGGGAGAGATTCGTCCACAGGTAATTTATATTCAGCCTGTATACCATCTCTGGATGGAAGATCTCTCTGCAGATGTATACATTTACCTACACGTGTCTGGCTAGAAGTCTTCTAATGTTCTGACCCCACCTATACTAAAGGATCTCTTTTAACTCCTTCACTAAACGCCAGGGTATGCAAATGTGCTACTACCTACAGCACATGAAAATACCAAACACAGTTCCTGCATGAATGAGAATTGATAGGGGACTGTCTTTGGTGCTGGGTTTCTTTTTTTTTTTTTTTTTTTTTAATTTTATAAATTATTCTGCACCTCCCCGAACACACACACATTTTCAGTACACGATCCAGACAGAGAGATCGGTTTCTGATACCGGCTTTCAAACCTGTTTGTTAGAAGGGGAGGGAGTGAAAAAAAGCGTGCATTCAAATCCACTGTATGGGGCGGGGGGATGGCTGGAGAGGGACGTTGTTAATGTTTTCTCTGATTAGATCCCTGCTTGTTTAATTACAGAATCAGTTCGGACCTGCATTTACTTGCTTCGCTGGGGAGTTTTTCAGGGCGGTTTTCTGGTTACAGATGGAACGGGCCTTCGCTTCGCCTTTTGTTTTCTTGCTGCCTCTTTTATTTTTTGCACCCAATGTGTTTCCTATTACTAAAGCGCTGCCTTTGCGGAGCAGCTCAGCCCAGGCGCTTGCATTGCACTACTGGGAGACGCCATGTTGGCTGAGCTAATAGGACCCCAAGTCAAAAGCAAGCTTAAAGGCATACTTCCACACGCTTCATCTCCCCTCCCAAACACTCCCCAAAATGCCACTTAGCGCGCACATCCAGGGCCCGCAGCCTTAGAGGAACCGGTACCCCCGCGCTATGTGGGGAGGGGGAATGTGGAATTATGCGCCGCGCCAGCGGTGCAGAGCACTTGGCAGCCAGCGTTTTCAACTAAAGTGCAAGCCCCCCGCTCGGTTCTGGTACGATCCTCAATGTCTGTCCTTTAAACCGCTTTGTGTTAACTTTAGAGATAAACCTCCCCCTGCCCTGACATGGGGAGTGAAGCTCACTGGGAAAGGTTTGGGAGGTAGGGGGGTAGGGAGCGGGGAAAAGTCCTTCTCGAGACACGTTTTAAAAAGTGTCTTAAAAGCAGCGATCGCCTCTTTGCTTTTACTATTGTTGTGGTTCGCGTTGGGCTGTTTGTTTCCCTTCCATCCCAAGCACTGGTGGAGGTGGGAGAAATAGGGAACTCAGATCAGATAAAAACCCCGCAAAGGGGGGGGGGGGGGGATAGACACTTAAGAGGAAAGAGTCGCCATGTTTAGCAGTTTTTTTTTTTTTTAAGATCTCGTCAATTTCACATAGCACAAGCCTCTCATTCTCAGCCCTCCTCTTTTGTCCAACTCAGTCGCTGGATAGGTCTTTTGTTCTAACTCAGCATGAAAAGAAAAACTTTCTTTAAATGCTATAAACTTAAACCTAATGCAAGTCCCTAAACAAATCCTCCTCTGAGCTTTCCAAACATATATACATGGGGTTTTTTGTTTAATCCTGGTGCATTTTCTGTTTACTCTTATTCTTTGTGAACCAAAGCTAGCTGCAGAAACATAGATCTCTATATAGAGCTTACAGGCTTTCAAACATTAAAAAAAACAAAAACCCAGGAACTGTCTTTTGATTTGAAAATCATAAATTATAATTTAATGCTAATAACAATGTACAGCAAACGGTTGCTTACAATAAACTAACACAAAACAAACAAGTAAAGATGCCGTGGTCTTAGCTGGAATAAAAACTTCACACACACTCACTCACTCACATGTAGAGCACTTGCAATAGAAAAAGCTAAATCTAGAGGTCAGCAATCCCCTTCAGTAACACACGCACAAACACACAATTTATATATTTATATATAATCAGCCGTGGTTCAGGTGTAAAACTGCTCAAATTCACAATTATATATATAATTTTCCTCCCTCCCCCTCTCCACAGATGGGTCTAACTGGAAGGAAGATCAGGGTTTAATCGACTTTACAGAATTGTCTCTCTCGCTTTTTTTTTTTTTTTGAAACCACAACATGGTGTAGTAACTTGTGGTAGACGGGGTGGGAAGCCTCACACAAGGACAAAATTGCAAGCTTTCATATACAAAGCATCTGCTATAGACCATAGGTGGGGGACGGGACACACACACACACGCACACACACACACAAAAGAAAGCAACCGCTTTCAAAATCAGATCACCCTGCTTCGTGTCTTTCCTTCCTTCAGATTGTATTTGCGATGACAAGGGATAGTAAGTATTACATACACAAATTGTGTATCCGATCCTGCAGCACTTACGCAGACAAAACTCCCACTGATCTGAATGGGACCTTTGCCGGCGCGAGTATTCCAATATAGGGCCCTGCAGATGTATGTGTGTAAGCAGAGGTACACATACATTCACGTATCCCAAATGTAAAATATGTTGACGACCTCTGGTCAAGCTTTCACTGGCCAATTTTTTTTAACCCACTTGCTATTATATATACATTAAAAACAGTCTCCTCAGTCCTACAAGCTAAGTCACTCCATCTGAAGACCTCTCAATGACAACGATAGATGGCAGTTACAGAGTATTATAAAAAATCACACATGCTTAAAGAAAACTCATTGCAAACAACTGACCTGTATTTACAATACTGCTATTACCTTGCTCCAGTGATCTTGTGCGTGTATGTCAGAAATTTACAAAAGATTTTTCCTCCCATTCTGATCATAAAATAGATACTGATCTTCAGATTTCTAATACTTTTTCACAACAATACCTTTCCTATGCAGGCACTTAAGTGTGACAAAAATAAGGGCCTTCTCTAGAAAATCCATTTTTAATTAACAGGAGGATTAGATGAATGGGGGGTAATGGTTTACCATTTCAATATAGTACTTCCTAAACCAAAGATAAACCATGAATTTAAGTTCCCCAACCCCACTCCCGAATTAAACAGGTAAATACACTACTATAAGTCTGCTACAAACTTATTGTGATAAGCAAACAAATCAATTGCCTATGGATTTATAGGACTACAAACTATAGAGAAGTCATGTGGTTTCTGAAAGACATTTATGACAGCCAAACAAGTTTCAGATATCAAATAATATTTTAATTTCTGAATACTTTCAATTTTCCTTGGAATATAACACACAAAGACTCGACCAAACAGTTCAGTTATTATAACTTTTACAGTATACAGAAATGTTGCACTTAAAAAAAAACCTTCAGTTTTTTTAAACACAAAACTGTAAACTCTAAGATACTGAATCAATCACGTTATCTATAAGTGCCAACAGTGTTATTTTGTCATGCTGATTTCAATGATATTTTTTTTAAAAAGGGAAAATATCAACAATTATTATAATACAAAGGGCTTGCAAATATACAAACAGATAGAGGAGTTTAATAACAATTCATGAAGAACTATGAGGAACCCAATCCAAATTACAAAAGTTCACTTTGTTTTTTTTTTGTTTTTTTTTTGTTTTTAGTTTTTTGTTTTTGTTTTTTTAATCAAAACCATAATGTGTCTTGGACACAATTCATTCTACCTACAATAAATCCCCACAGTTCATTTTCTGTCTGAAAATATCAAAAACCTAGTTTTGGGGGTAGTTAAGTGACATGTGGTTCATTCGGGTCTATATAATTATAGCTCTCTCTCTCAGCTTCAAGCTAAATTTTGGGTCACCACCTCTAAGTGCGCTTCCATCATTGTGTTGTTGAGGGGTTTTTTCCTTTTCTTTTCCTTTCTTCCTATGATACTTTCGTGGACTCAGTTTTAATTCTTTCAGAACATATATTTTAAGGATACACATTTTTTTTAAAGAAGCCAAGATTATATCAAAAATTATTATAGAACCACAGAATAAACTGGTTTGAAACCAGAAAAATACAAAAAAGAACAACTATAGGTACATAGACACATAGGACAATTAATAATTTGGAAAAAAAAGACTTACTTTTTTCCATTGCTAATTTTCTCCAAATTTCCTTTAAAAGCACTTTCAGCGAGATATTTTTCTTTAAAAAGTTTACCCCATAAAAGAAAAAAAAAGAAAAGAAAAAAGAAAAACCCACCCTAATGTATTTCCTTCCTTCTTTCTTTTTTTCTTTTACTTTTCTTTTCCCTTTATTTTTTAAACAAAAGAAATGATAAGTAGCAAGTTTTTTTCTCTTAATGACACGGGAGTTTTTAATGCATTCTGTAAAAGTTCATTTGAGAGTCTTTTTTTTTTTTAATTCACAGTCCATTATTTTTTTCCTGTCTTCTTTTAGCAAACTTGTAACATCCTTTTACATCCTTAGCAGAAGGAAATATAAGCAACCACCAGAACCCAAATGTCATTTGCTTTCCTTTCCCTCTCTTTCATCTCCCTTCTCAATATATATATTTTAATTTTTTTCTCCAATATTTTATTGAATGGACATATAAGGCCAGTTAAAACTGCTGCCAGACAGTAACATATCCCTGATTAGGGTTTCTATTGGGGTTTTACCTACCAAACGGACGAAAAACAATTGCTCTATGACAGAAGATGAGACAGTGCGCAGTGAGGGAAGACGTAGTAATAACTTCCCGAATCGCGTTGGTTGGTTGGGGTACTGGCTCCTAACATATTCTTCCAAAGCACACTGTGACTTCTCCTGTAAACTTTCAACATGGGCTACATCAGAGAGACCACAGGCATCTAGAAGAAAGTTAAAAAAAAAAAAAGAAAAAAAAAAGAAAGAAAGAAAACAATCAGTTTAAAGAAGATTGTTTTAAAAAACTGGTAAAATTAGGCGTAGATAGTGGTTGATCATGTCGCTCTCAGAGCTAAGCATGTTTTTAGCAAAAGGTGAATATATATATATATATATTCCACCCTTCGGAAGGGTCTACTCTAGAATCAAACCCAGTTTCAAGATCTAAAGGTTTAATTGCACTACTGACCTAGGCGGTAATACTGAGATGCTGGGAAAGTGTCATTTTATTATTAATTATTATTATTATTATTTGCAAAGGTTGAAAAGCATGCGGGGGAGAAGCCACTATTTCTTTCCCACTCGGAAAATAATTGTGAAGAGTCTCATCATATGGCTAGAAGGAATAATAATAATAATAATAATAATTAATAATAAGTAATAATAAAACTGGCCCAGCAAAGAATAATGGCGCCCCGGTTCCAGCAATAGATTCTCCCCCAAAGAAGACAACGCGTTTTTCTTCAGTCTTTGAAACTGATTTAAGTGGCCCTTTAAAACTGATCTTGTCAGTTTAGCCTATTCAGAGGCAGCCATGCAAACTGTGATCTCTCTGTTCATTTGAGCTGTCTCTCCCCCTTCTTTTTCTTTTTCTCACTTTTTCTTTTTTTTTTCTTTTAAACCCAAATCCTCTACAAGACGAAAACTCCCTGATATGGTCTGGACATTTTTCTGATACGCTAAAATACAATCAGTTCCCTTTAAATCAGAGACGTCTGTACTGAAAGAGCACAGGTTGTGACCTGACCTCTCTGTGGCTTCTTAGGCTAACACATGCATATTCTGCGAGTCATTAGGACCCAGATTTTAAATAAAGAAAAAAAAAAGGGGGGGGGGAATAAAAAAGCAAACATCATATGCATCTATGTGTGTGTGTTTTACATCATTGAGCGTTATTGGGGCGCCTGAGAAGCTGCATGCATAACCTTATATTTGCATGTGTGTATTTCCACAAAATCAGATAACAGAAACCTTTATCTAGCTGGGAGGCAATTTGCATGCCAGGCCTCACATTTTGCAAATAGTAATAAATTTAACAGTTACGACAGTGTCGGACGATTGTTTTCTTGAAAGGCTAAAAAAGTGCTCTTTAGAAATCCAGGATTTGAAATAAACTCATCAGGGTTGTGTTGGGGAGTGTGTGTGCTGGGGGTGGGGGGGAATCCTAGATGAAAATTTGAGCGAGGGATAAAATGCATCCTTGAAAAATGACAAGGAAATAAAATAAGCATCCCACAAACAAACGGTACATTCTGCTTTTCCTAGGGCTAGATGCTCCCTGCTAATTGATCACCTTAGGACTTTAGCACGAGTAATTTGAAAAAAAAAGTTTTACGTGTAAAGCAATAATATATAAAAGGAAGTTTAGGTCACGACCCAGAACCTGGACAAAGTCCAGAAAATGACTTGGTTCCCCAGACCCCCTTTAACACAACAAGGAATGGATTGTGAGTCCTCCTCCCCCCACTCCACATAAACTACATTTTTTTTTCTGTTTCCTGATATCAGGCTTTAAAAAACTCCGATGAGTAATTATTTTACAAGTCCTGCTTCCATTCATATGTTTATCACGTGGCCACTTTCCCAAGCTTTCAAATTAGTTACAAAAGAAATCATTTAAGAAAACAAAACCACCTTAATCCAAAACTTCTAGAGGTCCAATACAGTGTGTCACCGGATGCCGCCTTAAAGTTAGCAGCCTCGACTAACGTAGTGCACAAATTAGAAAGCATATATTTAAATATATATATATATATATATATATATATATATATATATATATATAT